GTGATAATATTTAGGGTGAATATCATTTCTTAATTTCTCATAAAAAGTCCATTCCAGACAAAGTTATATTAATTAATTTTCTATATTAGGTATAATACAAAGCGGGAAAAGGCGATCCTCCCTTTTAAGACCAAATGCCTACCGAATGCTATGATCAAAATGTGATTTGAGCAACGACATCTATTTAAGAAAATGCGAAATTATTGTACTCTGATACTGTTGATATAAAATCAAAAGCTACACCATCTTTGAGCCTACGAAAGAAATCGAATTTTGAAACAAGTATACTACCAGATGACCACAACTTGTTGTCTTTATCAAGGCATCTTTGCTTAAATAATGATATGAAAGTACAGATATTTCCAACACTTTGATAAGCCCACCTTAAGATTTCACCTTAAAAGCCATTCAAGCAGCTTTTCTGAACCTTTTCAAGCAGGACAATTCTGATAATCAAATACCTTATTTAAGAGTACATTCTCAACTTGAGACAGGGTGCGAGCCCCATATTTAACGCTACAATATTTGGCGTGTTTCTGGAAAAAAACCAAATCTGTTTACAGAACTTACATCCAATATAGATGTGGCGACAGATGGAAAACCCAGACTTCACTTCCGTATGGTAACAATGGCAAAACGTTGACATCAAATATATGAAACAGAACATTAATTGTTAGATTGTACAAATTCTTAACCGGTGATTTGAGAATATTCAACACCTTCCATACTTGGTCAGCCAAGGTATTTTCTGTGTATTATACCATAATCGATTGGAAAAAAGTGAACACCCAAGTATTGATGTGATGCAACATTTTGAAGCAACTGTCTATTCAAAGGATTTTTCGTAATGTCTTTGTCGACCAGCCTTCCTGAAAATAATAACTTTACTTTTAATAATATTTAATTTCAATTTCCATGTGTTACAATACGAAACTAGCTTATCTAGCCTCTTTTGCAGATCTATAAATTAAAAAAGCGCTATATCATCAGCAAACAATAGGAGTCTAAATTCATACCCCTCTGACCATCAGATGATAAACAATCAACAATATCGTTGACAAAGAAGGATAAGAGGAAAGAAGACAACTGACAACCATGACGAACTCCTGATAAACAATGAAAGAATGGGGTGTAACCATCTCTCATCGACACACAAGCATTTTGATACATGTTTTTCAATAGCCTAAACGTATTACCTTTAACATTGCCAAGCCAAAGTGTACAAAGGAGACCACACATATCGACTGAGCCAAAAGCGGCCTTCAAATCAATAAATGCACACTAGAGACGACCTTTGTAAAGTGAAAGATATTTACCAATTATAGCATAAAGAATGAAAATATTATCATTAGCCTGGAAACCAAACCTGAACCCATCTTGCTCGTCAACGAAGAATTCTTCCCTTTCGGTCCAAGAGTTTAACCTGTTGTTGATAATATTACAAAATATTTTACCAGTTACTTCAAACAGTGTAATAGGTCTATTATTTCCAGGGCAATCCATTTTATCTTACTTCTACAAAATAATTATAACTCAATACGTCCACTCAGATGGATCAATACCTGTAGACAAAGAGCTATTAAATAGATATTTCAACAAATCAATACAATGGTGAGGTGCATTGTTAAACAATTAAATTGGAATGCCACTGAATCCTGATACTTTTCCATTGTGCATTTCTTGAATTATAGCATTAATTGTTTCTTGGTAGGGTATTTCTTTATCCCGAAACTCATTGTCAACAGATGAATCAATTAATCTATCACTAATTGAATCAACAAATTTTTTGACAAAAATGTAAAAGTGTTCATCATTGGCTGAAAAATAAGACGACTGAAAGCATTTTTGAAGTTTGTGCGTGAAATTTGAGAATGATGAAAACAGTTTCGCAGCACCATGCTGTTTATAGTGAGCCACAGCTGAGCAGTAAATAGAAACATTTGCAGCTGGAGCCTGTTCACAATTATCTCTACGAATACAGGTGACGCGAGAAGATCCGGATTAGAATTTGTCTTCAGCTCACTGACTTGGTTGACACGTCCCAATTGCGTAGTTCCACGCTCATGCTGTTGATCACTGGATTGTCTGGTCCAGATTCGATTAATTACATATAGCTGGAATATTGCAGCGTTAAACAATAAACCAATTAACCAACCAAATCAATATAGGTAAAACGTTTGTCTTAGAGAGTCCCAGTGATTTTACAGCCGCTTCGTCGTATTGCCAGATTCATTCGCTTGGTGGCGCTTTGGTCGTCTGCAAAGGGACGTTTTGCAAATCATTTATATAATGTATATAATATTTTCGTTTAACAGACCTTCCATTGTTTTTGTAATGTTTTTCGGTTTAAATACATATCACGTGCTTTATCATTATATGTTCTATTGATCTGTTAGAATATTCAGTGTCATACCTGTACACTTTGTTATCTATCGATTACTTGTCCTGTCCTGTGTTTTTTTGCAATTAAACGATAGGAGTGCAAATATTGCTGCAGGTAACAAACTACTTACGTATGATGCAAACTGTGGTGGCGGATGCTTACTACAGGCAGGACATGTTTAACACAGATTTTATAGATTTGTCATAATAATTCTTTCGCAATTTGCGTCCATATTGATTGTTCGGTGGGTACTATCTGGCACTGACATTGTATGCTTATTTCAATCAAGAGTTTGAGTTTAAACTGCCTTTTACGCAGGCATGGCAGAGTGTAAACCTAACTGTCGATACACATGCAGTATTTTACTGACGCACATCAAAACAAATTAAAATTGTACTGTTTCAATACTTGGAGATTCAGGGTCAAAAGACAAAATGAACCTCGGCACAGAAAAAGTATTGATAAATGGAAACTACATATTGTCAGTAGAGACAACCAACTCGACAGAAATACTCGTCAATGGCTAACTGCAATCTACTACACCTGATGTGTGGTTCTACCGTGAAAATGTACCGTGAAGACTCGGGTTAGAATTGGAATTGGCGACTAACGCGATCGGGTGATCAGGCTCGCTGACTTGGTTGACAATGTCATTGTATCCCAATTGCGTAGATCGATGTTCATGCTGTTGATCTCTGGGTTATCTGGTCCAGACTCGATTAATTTACAGACCGCCACCATATAGCTGGAATATTTCTGAGTTATACAACAAACAAACAAAACTGAATAAAGACGTCGTCATCCATGAGGAATGATTCACCACCCAACTTTTAACATGCTAATTGAACATCCACAAATCGTTCAAAGCTCTACGACATTCGTAAGCTTATGGTAAACCATAGAGTTACGACCGATCGTAACTTTACGAACGCTTTGTGAATCGGGACCCTGATCGTAATCTGGCTTAAATGAGATTTTTCAGCTGAAGAACGCCGCGGCTTTGCAGTGCATATGCACCAATGTGTTGTATATACAACGCAGTTACAGGGCATGGCTAGACATAAGTCATAAACAGTACATCAACAATCAGCTATCTGAGACTTATGGAAACAAGACCCATGCATGTCAGGTCCAGGTTTTTCGCTTTCAGCTGACAGATACATTGGCTCATCTGCATGACTATTCGATAAGAAAAATACAATTTGATCAATAGTTTGCTTCTCTTTTAAGCCACTCTAAAGACTTTGTAACTGTAAAAAATATTGTGCTTTGAAATTGGACGACCCCGCTGTTTAGTCAGCCAATCTAACTTACTGAAAAACTGTGGCGGTTTAAAGGTATAAGTATATTTGTTTGAGGCATGTAGCGGAATTGCTGTTAATGCGTACCGTCTGTGTATGATGTGACACGTGAAGATCCGGGTTAGAATTGGTCTTCAGTAACCCTTGCTTGTCGTAAGAGGCGACTAACGAGATTGGGTGGTCAGGCTCGCTGGCTGGTTGACACATGTCATCGTAATCCCAATTGCGTAGATCGATGCTCATGCTGTTGGTCACTGGATTGTCTGTTCAATTAGGTCAAATTAGGTCGTTAGCAGAACACATTACACTGAACGAAACGATTATTATGTCGGTTTTTTAAAAATAATTTTCTCGTTTTAAAAATTATTCAATTTCTTACCAAGATAAAACATGAGACCTTGACATCTCGTCAAAACATCGTCTATGAAAGACGTTTGAATTTCCCTCTCATTTTCGCATGTGCATTTGCTGTTTTATTATTAGCCAATCAGATCGCTGAAGGAAGTTAAGACCGGCGCTGACGATCTAGTTGTGTATACTTCCGGCACAGCAACTCAGTCTTTGGCGATTTAAAAAAACAACTCCCTATGGATAGCATGTGTATACGCCTACTACACACATCGGAAATATGGACAAAAGCTATTTATACCGATGATACGAATACAATATACGATATATTCCTTGATGTGTGCGTATTGTCCGGTTTACGATCAGGTCACCGTATTTCTGTGATGAATCTTTACATACTATATAGTAGGGGGCTGTATAGTAAACCGGGGCTTAGTTTATCGATTTTCAGACCCGCAGTGTGGGTCTTTGGTAATGGTATAAAAGGTATCTGTGCTGATTGTAAAATGAAGGAAACACTGAAACAAAGTCAATACTTCCACTTGAAATTGTTAGTTTCATAAAACTATTGTCTATTTCGATCACGATGTATTCACCATATCCATACATATAGGAAAAGACCAGAATCGAGGCGGATAATAACGACTTTAAACTCCTCAACAACTCTGAGTAACCCTTGCCAACAAGTTTATACAGAAATACAGAATGATGAACATTCCGATTATTGACTCCAACATGTGTGATCGAGTTCGATGTGAATCCCGGTAATGACATACACTGGCAGTAGACAGATATAGATTTAACAAACATCCAGTCGTGTGTTCATCACATTTAACTGCTCAGTAACTGATCAATACTATTGATTTGCTTGTTCCTGAAACATTTTCTGAAGAGACGGTTTACTTTCCAAATATATAATTAACTTATTCGCACGACGCGACTTCTTCCCGATGCCTGCCCATTAGGCGTTGAGAAAACGAACAATTTCGAATTCAGAAATTCTTTTTGAAGACAACTGTTTCCATCTTGTCCATAGTCATACGCTATGTACAGGTCCTTTCAGCGAGTTGTGTATGTGGGAATCATATACATTTGTTGTCAAATACTCCTGAGCATGGTGCAGTTAACCAATACCTGTATGCCGAATCTTCATTATGGACAACACCTCGTTGGATCAACCTTTAAGATCACTGAGAAGGCCTCTCTGTTTTCCTGTGCGGCTGAATGTGTTTCCTATGGAATATGCAAATCCTTCAATTTGGAATTAGACCGGAGAGTGTGTCATCTAAATTTTTTGGATGACGTCCAATATTTGGAAGGAGGGAACGATCAGAATTATGTTTACAGTTCAATTATGAGTTGGAACAAGGTAGGATTTAAATGGAAGTACCTTGTGGAGAGAGTGAATGAGTGTATTTGGGTTTTACGCCGTCTTTAACAGTACACCGGTCATATCGTGTCTGCTTGATGTGGGATGAAAGCCCGAAGTAATGCAGTTCTGGTGTGAAACAACTAGCAGGCCTGGCGTATGGTGCTAACAAAACTAGAAACAGGGATTCGAACTGACAATCATAGGTTTCTGACGGACAAATTGATGATAGCTTATGGGGTAAAACATGAAGTAGCTTGAAGAGTTTATGGGCGGCGTCTGTGGTCATTTTACTTGGTTGCTGGATATCACTGACTGAGTGAGTTCGGTTTTACGCCGCTTTTAGCAATATTCCAGCAACATCACGGTGGGGGACACCAGAAAAGGGCTTCACACATTGTACCCATGTGGGGATTCGAACCCGGGTCTTCGGCGTGACGTGCTGGATATTAATATCGAATAATACTATAACATTTTAATGAATTTTATGTATAGATACCACGGCAGACCAGTAATATTTTGCAGTAGAGCTGTGACGATATATCGTAGTATCGATAATAGTGATACTTTTTTCTGACAATAAGTATATCGTTACTTTTCTTCGTATCGTGATATGTATCGTTGACCTTAAAATTGTGAATTTTCACTAGACATTTACGGTTATGTCAAAATTTACACTGTTACTTGTTATCAAACTACACTTTTGAAAAGAAAATAACTAAAGATAGCATATCGTGATACGCATCGTATCGTTCCAAGATATTGCGATACTATCGTATCGTGAAATTTCTGTATCGTCACCCCTCTATTTTGCAACAAAGAGTTTTGGTCAGTATCAAGGAATTCACAGCACATATGACAGATCGCTGATTGGACCCCGTTCCTCAAAGCGATCGTAGCGCTACGACAGTCGTAAGTCTATGTTAAAGTATGGGAGTTACGATCATCTTAGCGCTACGATCGCTTTCAGGAACAGGGCCCTGGATTGTATATCACACGATGTGTGTGTGCGTATGTCCGTGTGTGCGTGCGTGCGTGCGTGCGCGCGCTCGTCTATGTTTATATACCTATAGTATTACCAGAAATTATTGAGAATTTTAGGAATATGTTTAATTGGATTTCTAGTATAAACAACCTTGACCAGCTATCAAGTGCTTGGTTTCATTCAAGAGAAACAACTCCGTTAATCCTTTTCATTAGTTTGTGAAGAGTTATCCCCCTTTGTTTACTTGCTAGCAGACGACATTTTCAGTGATCCTCAGTATGGATGATTTAGAGAAGAGGAAGTTGATTTTAGAGTATTATAACAAGGACATCAGATCAGCTAAAGTGATTTCAAGTAGAACAGGCATCCCTTTGTCCACTGTTTATCGTGTTTTGAAAAATATTGCAAATGGATATGGCATTGAGCACTAGGGAGGCGCAGGTAGGCCAAGAAACTTGACTGTCGGTGACAGGAGGCGGCTTGGTATTCTTGTTTCTAAAAACAAACGAAGGAGTTTAGAAAACTTAAGGCTGGATATGATTGATAGAGGAACTGTGGCTGTCTGTAAGGAGACAATTAGAACTGAGCTGCATGCAATGGGTTGGCAGAAAAGTCGAGGAATTCCATCACCGATCATGAAACCTGAACAAAAGGAGCGAAGGTTGAACTGGTGCTTACAGCATAGAAGTTTTAACTGGGACAATGTGATTTTCTCAGATGAAAGTTCTGTGTGGCTGTTTCCTAATACACTGAAATTCTGGACCAAACAGACTGAAAAACCTTTGTATCAGCACCCAAAGTACAGTCCGAAATTTAACGTGTAGGGGGGCATATCTGTGTTAGGGGCAACGCCCCTCTGTGTATTTGAAGGGAATATGAACAGTGATCAGTACACAGATATTATCGAGGGACATTACTTCCATCTGCTCACTTGTTCTATGGAATTTTTTTATTTTCCAGCAGGACAATGACCAAAACATCGTTCAAAGCATTCACAGGCCTGGTTTCGGACCCAAAATATGACATTATTAGATTGGCCAAGCTATAGCCCTGACCTAAATCCATTAGAAAATGTTTGGGGACTTATGAAGGAAAGTGTCAATAAGAAAAATCTGACAAATATTGCCTCTTGAAAGAACAGGTGGTCCGATATTGGGAGAGCATGGACCACGACTTTCTAACTTCTTTGATCAGTAGTATGCCCCGCCGCATTGAAGCCTGCATTGCTGCCCATGGTGACTTGACAAAATACTAACTGTTCACCTGTGTATGAATCTGAAGTTATGTTCTGCTAATATTCACATTTAATACGTGAGTAATGAGTGAAAAAAATATAAAAAATTACAATCTTAAATTCTCAATAATTTCGGGTTGTACTGTATATGTATATATAGTTTATAGTTTTTTCAATTCTCAGACTTGGTCTATGTCATATCAGCCGTTTGACAGTTCTGATTTTCGGGCTTACATTTCCGTGTTGTAATTTATTTTGCCCGCCCTGATATTGCTTGAATATAAGCGGCGTAAAACTAAACTCACTCACTCACTCACTCACTGTAATTTATTTTTATTTTGTTTAATTTACAGACAGCACTTGGTCCATGTCATGAGAACCCATGCGGATACACACAGAGATGTAATTTCAAGAGAAATGGCATCGTGCATTGTGGTATGTTATGTTAACAATGGATTTCATCCTACATATAAACAGCAATCCAATTTGTCACTTCATTGTGTCATGTACCCGTTAAAATCCGGGTTAGAATGTATCTTCAGTAACCCATGCTCGTCGTAAGAGGCGACTAACGGGATCGGGTAGTCAGGCTCGTGACTTGGTTGACACGTCATCGTGTCCAAATAGCGTAGATTGATGTTCTTGCTGTTGATCACTGGATTGGCTTGTCCAGACCCGATAGCTGGAATACTGCTGAGTGCGCCGCAAAACTAAACTCACTCACTCGCTCATTGTGTTATGTCACTACACACGTAACATATAACTACCCAGTCTTGTGTTAATAAGGTTATAATATAATATAAACAATCAGAAGATGACAAATCCCCCCGGTCCCCACATATTTGAAAGAACAAATCATCTCAACTTTCTTTTTAAACTAAATAAAACCGTTTCCATGGAAATGATGAAAATATAAATGCTAAAAATCTGTAAATAGCAAAAGACACAACTTTAGGTTCTGTTGGATATATCTGATACGTTTTGTTTAAAGGTATGGAATGGTTTTCGAGTTGTGCTCCGGAAACAAAGCCCATCCCTCCCTTTTGAGATTAAGTCCGATTCGTTTCCATGGAAACCGGGAAAAGTAAAAATGCCAAAACTCTGCAAATAGCAAAAGGCACCACTTTGGGATCTGTCTCATATATCTGTCATGTTTTGCTGAAAGATGTTAAAAGGTTTTCGAGTTGTGCTCTGGAAACAAAGCCCATCCCTCCCTTTTGAGACAAAGTACGAATCGTTTCCATTGAAACTGAGAAAGTGAGTGAGTGAGTTTAGATTTACGCCGCGCTCAGCAATATTCCAGCTATATGGCGGCGGTATGTAAATAATCGAGTCTGCACCAGACAATCTACGCAACTGGGAACCTATGACCAAGTCAGCGGGCCTAACCACCCGATCCCGTTAGTCTACTCTTACAACAAGCATGGGTTACTGAAGATCAATTCTAACCCGGACCTTCACGGGTGGAAACCGAGATAAATAAAATGAAAATATTTGTAAATAGCAAAAGGCACCACTTCAGGTTATGTCTGACATATACACCAATTTGTGTTAAACAATATTGAACGGTTTTGAGTTATGCTCCGGAAACAAAATGATTACGGACGGACAGACGGACGAGGCGTCGACTATATCCCCCCTCATTAATTAGTATGAAGTTGTCAATGAGATAAGAAGTGCATATCCGTGGCTTTTTGCAGTTTCAAGAAAAGTTCTGGCCATACTATAATTGAATGAAATGGCATCTGTTGGGGAAACAAAGGCAGCAGTTTATGCGTCTTCCTGATTATAACTCCACCCGAAAGAATGCAAACATATAATTGGGAATAAGAATTCTTGAAGATATGTACGAAGACAAGTCATATATATTTCTCAGGAGAGACCAGACTGATGTCAGATCATCCTAGTCAGTGTGCAGACACTAATTCCCACGCGAAATGGGCGGTGGCCCTGGGGTAGCCTAGTGGGTAAAGCGTTGGCTCGTCACGCCGAAGACCCGGGTTCGATTCCCCACTTGGGTACAATGTGTGAAGCCCCGCCGTGATGTTGCTGGAATATTGCTAAAAGCGGCGTAAAACCATACTCACTCACTATCACTCACTCCCACGCGAAATCTTAACTTCAACATATGTTGTTTGAAAAGAATAGTTAAACTGAGGTCACATACCTCTCTGATTTGTCTTCAATAGATTATGTACGGTCAAAACAAATCTAAACAATATGTGTACATTTGTATAGTTTCAGGAATATAATTCGATGAAACTGTTTTCCATTCAAAGCTATACATAATTTGTCAAGTGAAGGACGTACGTTCAGCAGTTTAAATAGGCACGAACGGAAAGGTGTTCATTAAACCGGTTAACCTCATGTCTGTTACCACCTATTGATTTGTTAATTCCACACCCCTCCAATATTTAATGAATTTTAAGTTTCATTTCTTACTGGTACGAAAGACCTAATGCTTCCAAACCACATCAAATGACCATGATGGTTTTGTGAAAAAGGGTGTGTCTTTTGTTTTTTTAAGAGGACCATTTACCTACTGTTGCGAAAGGTAAAACAACAAATGCAAGTTCTGTTTGGGGGCACCAACCTAGTGTTGCAGTGGACGGGAGTAACTCATCAGCGTGGTCATCTGGCTCCTGTTTTGCTGTTGCTCATGGTGATTTCTCACCTTGGTGGCAGGTGGACCTGGGTCACTTGTATCTCTTTGTGGAAGTTCGTGTCACCAGTAGAGGAGACTGTTGTCGTAAGAAAAAATAAATGCTTTTTTACTCTGTTAACATAATATTTCGGTAGCGATTTATCGTGTGTTTTTGTTTGTTTGTTTTCTATTTTTTAGGTAGCCAAACACTAAAATCTCTCATAGTCCATTGGAAACAAATAATATAACATATGATATAACGGATAAAAGAAAGTTTAGTGTTTGTTCATGTGTCCAAATATCACATTCCTACATGTCAATGCCTTGTATACCGATAAACTATCATACAATCAGAATTTTCCAGTTAAGCCTAAATTGTACGTTAGACCTGTATTTATGTTTCAGCTGAACGCCTTCACGACTTTGCTCTGGACGTGTACCAGGTCAACCCTCTTGTTGACCCCAATGCTAGTCCACAACTGTGTTACATGTACAACGGTGCCGTCACACAGCATGGCAAGACAGTTGCCCTACAGTGTACTTCAACCGTGACTGGACGCTACCTGAGAATTAGTGGAACGAAAAACAATCACGACATTTTGCAGTTTTGCGAAGTCCAAGTCTTTGGCTTCATACATTGGTAAGTTTCCAGGTCGACACCATTCGAACATGAAGCTACGTTGATGAATAGGTAGTATGGATATGTTGAGGTGTTTTACAAACTGAATCACAACCGTGATGGAATTACTTCGGTTACTTCTTTCTAAATTACAACAAGTGTATATTACTTGATACCAGATTGCACAAGAGAGAACTAAACAACATGATTCTTTTATATGCAATGGAGAGGACCCATAGCTTGATGTTGATTTTAAATATTACACTGCATTTTACACAGGCGACAAAATGATTGGAATCCATGTTGATTTTATGATGATAATTGCACCATTGTTTAAAAAAACACACTGATTTTCATACCAAACCCTATGTGTACAAGAATGGCCCTCGAATGTTTAATTATGAATTTTGTGTAACCTCCATGTGACTGTATGACAGCGAGCACTCTCCTCTTTATACCCCCTGTCAGCCTCCTGATCCCCTGAAGGGGAAGTCTATGCCATATCTCGTGTAAAGCAGCTTCCGATTGGGCTATGTTCTGTATAGGAGGATGAACGTGTTGCACACGACGACCAATCATGTCAAAGATATGCTCCAAAGGGTTAATATCTGGGCTTATTTAATCGTGAGATATATCAGGGGGTCCTTAACTAAGTTCTTCGTGTATATGTTTTCATACGTATATGGAAATACTATGCCTTACCAGGTTAGCTGCATTTCACTTAGTGAAAGTGTGCCTGCAAAGTGTCTGTAGCGTATGTTTTGGTTTAACTGTGATCTCTGTTTGTGTCTTAACTCATATAAAAGAAATAGCATTATTGGATACATTCTAAAAAAATATGTTTTGTAAATAGATAATTGTGATCTTATCAATGGTAGTATAAATTAACATCTACGATTATTAGTGGCTGTATCCTCAAAGGGGGTTAAAGTATTCTAAAATTCCCCCTGAGAGGGTACGGAAGTCCGAAAACTTTCAAAGTGAAATTTAAACTTACCAATTTTTTAAAACGTAGTATTTTGTTATTTGAAATTTCGGCTAAAGTTTCTTTCAATCGCCATCGGCTGAAGGGATGGTGTACATCTAACTAGGGTCCATGCAGGTAGCAAAAGTAATGTAAGTCCGCATGGTCCCTAGTATGGCGATCTACCGTCAGTTGTTGGCGATCTATAGCCTATTTTTATATCATGTATTGTACAAATAGTGCTATTAGTTTTAACTTCACATGCTAGTTTTAAATTCAAACTGTGATAGTCTGGTTGTTTTTCTGTCCTGTGACGACTTGTTTTATAATATATACATATTCTTTGTTCTCCTCACGATATGGCTGACATATTGCCGCTGTGACGTTAAATATTAACTCACTCACTTAACTCATACACCTCTAAGGGTTACTGCTCCTCAGCATCAATGTTCGAAAAGGTGGATGGTTTGGACAGCCTCATTACAACAAGATCCAGAGTGGACAAATGAGTTTGTTTTTGACAGTATGCTAGTTATATCACGTCAATTTGAAGCTTGTGCGCTAATGCTCCAGAGAACGGATTTCCTTTTGGCTAATGTCGACTTTCTGTTAGTCCTTTCATTGGTCGGTCAAAGTTCGAAAGTGACCGTGATGCAGGTTTGTAAAATTCATATTCTATTAAAGAAGTGGTGATGAAAAATTTCCAAGTTGCTGTCGGATGTCGAATTTTAAAGGTGTTGATCCATCTGTTATCTATAGTGTTTATCCATCTTTTTATCTACACTTCCCCTCACCAAGATTCATTATTATTATATTCCATTCTTGCTTTATATACTGAGGGGGAAAACTAAGGGACCACATGAAAGCACAAGTGTTCATTTATTTTTTTTCCAGGTTTCTTCACAAGCGTTGTATCGCATAGCTTGATACAAGTCCGAATATTTACGCACGTGTGTGTGCGTGTTTTTCTCTCTGGTGTAGTGGTTAGAGCGTCCGCCCGGAGAACGGAAGGTCGCGGGTTCGATGTCCGTCCGCGTCATACCAAAAGACGTTAAAATATGGTACTTGTTGGTCCCTGCCTGGCGCTCGGCATTAATGGGTACAACAAGGAGTCAGTATAATGTGTGTGAGTCGGGTATTCATGCTTAACTGCAGCATGGTATCTCAGTGAGCTAGCATATAAAACCAGCTTAAGTCTGGGTTAGTACAAGCAGCCACACATACACACGCATGCACGTCGTCATATGAGCGAAATATTCTTTCTAAAGTGCGACGCTAAACCCCACTTCATCTCTCTCTCTCTCTCTGTGTACTGCAAATATATTTTATTGATTTATTGAGCATAAATTAATAACTTGACTCTAACGATGGTGTGAGTAGGTATTTTGTATGATCTGTTCTCTCTAACAGCTTAGATCAGCTCAGATCTGTTCTTTGGGCAGTCTCACATGAAGATTTGTCTGACGCATTGAAAAACGGCTAGCGGAAGATTATCGCTTTTACTTATGGCCTCAAGTTATACTGACGGGATGTAGCGATTCCAATACGCTTTATCGTCTATTTACAGAATTTATGTGTCATGTATCTCCTGCAAAACGGTTACAAAACTATGGTCGTTACTCTGGGGGTGTGGCTGTTTATATTCGAAAAGTGTTTGCGAAGGTTTGCCAAAGAATATATCTTAACTGGGAGAATAGCGTCTTTTTCCACTTTAAGAGTAATTTCATTGTTGGATTCCTTTATATACTACCAGAAGGATCCCCTACTTTATGTTGACCTAGATTCTAACGGCATTGATGAGCTTGATTCTAAAATAGCTACTATTAGAGCTAATTACGTGATGATATTCCTGTAATACTTCTAGGTGATTTCAATTCTAGTGTGGCTCAAACGAGGATTATTTGCTGGAAAATGACAGTGATTTGAACTTCTTGCCATTATCAGATGTGTATCTTCCCGACAGTTTCAATGAAACTAGAGCAACACAAGACACTACAGTTAACATGTATGGCCTGGCTCTGCTAGAAGTGTGCAAGGTATGGGGTATACATAAAGTTTATGGTAGGAAAAAAGGCGACGAAACTGGGTCTATTACATGTATTACACACAATGGTTCAAGCCTTGTTGATTTTGGCGTCGACTAGTTGTTTTTACTTGATTAAGGATATATTTGTCCACTCGCGGTCAGACTCTGACCACCTCCCTCTATCGTGTATTGTACAGGTGTGTGTCGGTGATTGTGGGGGATAACTCTCAAGTGGTCAGTGATGGACATGTAGAGTGTGAAAAACTCGTAAAGTTCAGGTAGAATAATGGTGAATTAGACCAGTTCAATGAGTCTTTAGCGTCTAGTACAGCGAGTTGCATATAAGATGAGTTTCTTGATCTAGTCTATTCTGATGTCAATGGTGCCAGCGAGAAACTTGTTGGGTTTCTCCACTATGTGGGAAATCACTTTCAATGTCGTGATGTTCAGTTCACGAAAACAAAGAATATTTATTCTAAACGGTTTGATGAAGAATGCGAAAGTTCTAAAAGATATAAGTTTTACTGGCTGAAACCAATGTTGATTTCATTTTGACGCATTTTTGGCACAGCATGATTACTGCGCGGATTATAACAATACAGACTTTCTATCTGAACCAATTACCAGAACAGAAATAGAAAATGTAATCAAAGTGTTAAAAGCTGGTAAATCCCCAGGTATTGAATGTTGGTTTGATCATTCCACTTCATCAAAAAGGTAGCGCTCATGAGCCAAATAGCTATCGTGGATATCTTGGTTGAATGTAATGGGTAAAATATTCACTTCTATCCTCGAAGCCAGAATACGTATCTGGTTAGATCTAAACGAAATATTACATGAATGTCAGGCAGGGTTGAGGCCCGATTACTCAACAGCTGATAATATGTTCGTTCTACAGGCACTATGACAGAAGTATTTAAGAAAGCCTAAACATCGGTTTTACGCAGCTTTCATTGACTTTCGGAAGGCCTTTGATTATATAGGCAGAAACAAGCTTTTGTATGCTCTTATCTCCAAATGTATACATGGGAAAATAATACGAATCCTCAAAAAACATGTACGATAAAGTATCTGCTTGTGTGAAAATAAGTAGTGTACGCACAGAAGTATTTTCGACAACATTTGGACTGCGACAAGGATGCATTCTCAGTCCTGTTTTTTTCATTTTCTTTATTAACGAATTAGATGAAATGAATGCATGTGGCCTACGAGGAATATTCGTGAAAAATGGTAAGAATGATATGCCTTTATTGTTATTCGCAGATGACGTCACTCTGATTGATGACACAGTAATAGGCTAAAATCATTCTGTATCAAATGGGGCCTAGAAATTAACTTAGATAAATCCTGCATTATTGTTTCCAGGAATGGTGGCTATCTTCGAAATAACGAAAAATGGCTTTTTGATGGTACAAACATGAATGTTTTATCTTATTATAAATATCTTGGTATTGTTTTCACATAAAAATTGTACTGGTCTAAAGCATGTGAAACATTAGCTTTACAAGCCAGGAAGGCCTCAATTCCTATATTTTCTCTTTTTAAAACTTATCAAAATATATCTTTGAATGTGGCATCTACCGTATTTGATAGTAAAATTGCACCGATTCTGCTCTAAGGTGCAGAAATATGGGGTTTTACCTATCGTGTAAATATTGAAAAAATGCAAAGTTATTATTTCAAAAGATATCTTCGTGTTAGCAAAATTGTATCTTCAAATATTGTACTCGGTGAAACGGGTAGAAGTCATCTTTGTGTACAGTATTTCACCCGTTGTATAAAGTACTGGTGTAGACTCCTATATATGGAAAGTTATCGTATTCCAAAGGCATACTATGAACTGTTAAAAACATACGACGACAATGGTGGTCGCAATTGGGTATCCCATGTACGTTTACTTTTATTTCACTCTGGGTTTCTTTTGTGTGGTTATCGCAAGAATGTTGCGATGTAACAAGTTTTATAAGTGTTTTTAAACAGAGATGTAAAGATATAGACACCCAGAATTGGTATTCAAAAATCACTTCATCGCCATTCTTAAATCATTACTCGTCATATAAATCTCTCCTTGAACCTGAAAAATATATCTCTTACGTGTTTTATTCAAATTCAGATGCATGAGTCATAAACTTAAAATTCAACATAGCCGGTATAATAAGGTAAATGCTGATGCCATTAAATGTGATAAATGAAATTTTATTTTGATACAAGATGAGTATCATTTTTTGCTCGTATGTCCATATTATTCACAACAGCTCTCTTTGTAGATTCATGATTTTATACTATACTGAGTCAAAAAAGAAACTTCACATTCTTTCTTCAGGGCACTATAAAAGAACAAGAGATGGTAAGATGGTTAAATTGTTTAATGTCATTGCTGAGATCTGTGTGATGTACTCGATACACTGACAGTGCCATAATCAGTTCCATTAGGCTACACCGCCGTTCCAAAACATGGGTATACAGAATGTCAAGTCACAAGAATAAAAATGCGAACTTTCTCAGTTCAATATCGTGTATGGC